ACACACCATTTCCACTCCATGAAATAACATGTCTGAACACGCCCCTGGTTCTTGCGACGATTCCCTGTTGAACGATTTCTCATCGCTTCGAGCTTCCATCTTACCCTGAGGCTCTGTTTTGTTTGGACAACTACTGCATAAGAACATACCATTACTAGTAGTACTATACTGCTACCACCATAATCAATGTGACTGCTGATAATGTCTGTATACGATATACCACAAGCGAATGCAGAAAAGGAGTACTGCTGTCCCGTACACGGAACAGAAAAACGCAGTTCTGCAGCTTTGCTCAAGCGATAGTCTTACGGATGCCTGATCAAAACGCGTAAACTGACCGCCGACGTCAGCAAGAGTGATGCGAAAATAAAGAATCATCTTCGGCTGATAACGTCACCAACTGACGTCACAGACTGCAGAAGTCTCTGACGTCATCATGAGTCCCATAACGTGGCGCCACATGATGACGTCAAGGCAAGGCACGTTCGCTTGCTCAACGGTGGGCCGATCACGGAGGCCGCGCACAACCAGATGAGATGCTGAAAACGTACAGTGACCCCACCCCAATCGTGGCGGTAGCATAGCCACGAGAAAGCTTTCTAGGATGAACGCATCGAGTGAGAAGGAAAAGAAAATTGCTTTCTCCTAGGAGTCGTAGGCGAATGCATGAAAAGAGACGCTGCAAGTTTTCCTTCCCCCCACCCTCCCTCCCCATCTTACACTCCCCATTCTCGTCCTACAGTACGCATGCCCAACTCTCGCCAAGGCTGTGAAGCGGGTTACCACGGCTCAGTATAAGAGCTCGTCAGCCCGTCGATAACGAGTCGTCGATTTCATTCTTCGATACGTATACCGTCTCAGGCGGCCACCCGCGGAGCCACGTACCGAAAGAGCGCTCGTTATCTGCTCAAAAAAACTACTGGAAGCCGATATCATCGGTTTACCATGCTGCCCTGGATGTCTAACAATCCAGGGCAAGTAAGGGGCCCTCACTGAGATGCGTGCGTCAGAAAAACGCCGACGGCTAACACGAGAAAAAAAAACACGTTTCTTCTGTGACAAAGAATCCACTCATGTTGTCACTGCTGGCCCGATAATCCAGAAAAAAAAAAAGAGACATACGTGCCGACATCGCGGAATGAAACTCCCGATCAAGCCTCTCCTGAACGTCATGGATTACGACAGTGTTCACTTGCCTATAGCTAATTGTTTATCGGGCCCGCTCGGCGTCCTATGGGAACCCGAGGCTAAACCTGCAGGATAATTAAAATGCATTTCAATTCGCTGCATCGCGGTCAAAATACTGAGATGTAATTTGAAACCCGTGACGTCACAGACGCCGCCGTACTAAGGTTTCGACATGAAGTTCCCAGAAAGGGAATACGGCCATTGTTTAATTGTTTCAGCCATGAACGATCGTTTATTTCTTAACGACAGAAATAAAAAAAAGTGCGTTCGAAAAATTACTCACGCTGAGTCGGTTGGGTATGCGGTATTTGTAAATAACCTCACTTATGCTGTGCGCCAAGCGCCGCTTTGTGTTTGACGTCGGCCCCACATATGTTGGTATTGTTGACACAACATCAATCGGGTCGATGTTGCTGCTTCTCTGTTGAGAACAAAGAACCGCTGCCTGGTGCATATCGTCTGTATGTGCAAGTGCATGAGATCGATGTTGTACAAGTCGTTCTAAGCCTGTATTCGATACGTTTTTTTCCGAGGAATGAAGAAAAGTACCTAACCGTAAGTATGTGTGTTCGTGTGTGTACTAATATGTGCGCGCGTGTATATGCGCATGCCAAATTGAGAAATTTCGGAGGGAGAGGGAAACCCTCCCCCCCCCTGGTTACGTCTGCGACCTCGAATATGAACAACCTAGATCTCCCTTACGTTGTTCCACTTTGGCTAGCATTAACGTCAGCCCAGCTAAATAGTAGTCAAGTGTCAGTGGCTGCGAAATCTTCATAATAACTTCTACCACCCATCTTTGCCTTACTACGCAACTCACAAGCTTGGGCCCCTTCTGCCTTATAAGAGTCTAAAGTTAGGGAATGAAATAAGCTCCTCCTTCCATCACTTCAGATTCAGCCACAACGCAACCTCTATTTTTTTTTTCAACTTTAAATAGCACTGAGGTCAATGACCTTCTGACACGGTCCCGCGCCGTTCCCAACCCAGAATCACACTGGAGTTCCTCGGACTCCGGGAGTCGAACCCGCGACGAGTCGGGGCGACCTCTGCGCCACGCGTCGGCAGGCCCTGAACATGCCACGTCATGGCACCCCGGCACCCAGCGCTGCGTGTCACGGCGACGTCGTCAGCGCGCTCGGCTGGCTTGCAGCTCCCGCGAACGCTGCTGGGGTGAGTGAACTCAGTCGACCCAGCGACGCCGGCCGCCGCCGCCGCGCGAAGCCCAAGGCGGCGCCCCTCACGCACCCTATCGTTTCACTTCTCCTTTTATTATTCGTCTTTGTTTCCCCCTCACCTCCGCGCTATCGGAATGGTTGCTAGCACAGGTGAACGCGGCCTACGCGAGGGCCGGCTGAATGACCGACTGTCCCGCAGAATCGCCCTATACGAAACCAATCATTCGCTGCTCGATCTAATCGGTAGATCTTGAACGTAGTACGCAAAGATAGCGTTCGTTGTGTACGTACGCTGTTTTCGTCACTTAACGTCGGCACCCAATAGGAGGACGCATGCGCAGTCACGACAGACGCCAATGCGAAGCTTTGCGCACCCCATTCTAAAAGCTCTCTATAGGCTGTCTAGCCAATCGGAGACCCTTCTTACTCCTTGTAATCGGGCCTATGTGAACCCTGCATGGCTGCCAGTTCACCGTCCAGTATCGTATAACGCGGCTGTCCTTTACGTAACGGCGATCGTTCTACCTTCAAAGGAGAAAACAGAGCCAAGTTCAATCGTGCACATACATCGACGGTGGAAATAATGATCAATGCACATTGGGAAAGGGGATCAATCGAAGAGGAAGAACACGCCACACCTGCACTAAAGGCATTGTCTTCTACACTCTCCCCGTTCAAGGGGCGACGGCATATGCTGTAGAAAATAACAGGCGCCGACATCTGCATCCTTTCCAAGGGAGAAACACAGCCCGCACGTGTTTTCACCGGGTAAGTGACCCGCCACAAATATCGTTCTTTACCAACAGGCGCGACAAAAAGGTGGGGCCCTATTATAACGCGTTCCTCAGAAACCACGCACAGCGCGAAGAGGTCATCCCACGCGCAGCTGTACGCAAGTAGTGAACTACGATGTGACCTCCACAGCCTCCCACGTCAAATGTCATCGTATTCGTGGTGCCCCTTTAGAGGAACCGCATAAAAAGCGTCTTGCGCCGCGCTATCCGAGTAGGAGTACGTGAAAAGGCGTTTTTTTTTTTTTATGGTCATGGCCTTGTATGTGACAATTGATAGTTTCATCAAACGTAGGCGCACGACGAACTCACTCCCGATGCTAAACAGTCTAAAAGGAATGGGCCGCGCAGGAGAAAAATGTCATCGACTTTGCTGGGAGGGAAAAAAAAGGTCATCGCGTTTCTCATATCAGTCAAGCCGGCACATTCAGGCTGCCTTCCGCGGCCGAAATGACCAGAACGGGAGCACGCGTAGGGGTGTCCGCATCAGCAGGCCCGTGATCCCAGCAGGCGACACACACAACGCACACACACATCATGGGATGCGCCATTCTCTACGCGCGCGCAGCCCGAAATGCGGCCGACTGCCTCCGACCGGGGTCAACGACATCACAGCGCGCGCCACACAGCCGCCAAGAGCACAGGCAGCGGAGGAGAGAGCAGCGCGCCTATGGATTCCGACGCGGGACCCAAAAGCCAAGCGCCGATAGCGAGCGGTCTCGAATAAAAAGAAACTTCGGCGCCCGCCGCATCTCTTCGGTGGAGACGCTATAAGCGTTATTAATGCGTGACAACAGGTTCAGGGCAAGACTTCAATATCCGAGCCGAACCTTCGCGATGACCTGCAGCTTTCGACCGCCCACAAGTGCTTAGTCACATTTTTCACTGCCTGTGCTATCGTGAATACTGCCGTCTCGTAAATGTATGCGCATTTTTCGAGCCCGCCACCACCCCATTGCATCGTAATGTAGTTTGACGTTATAAAACACGTTCCCGGGAGTACTCCGACGCTTAAAATCAGGCCCGGGAATAACCCAACGCTTGTAACCAGCAATACCAAGGCCGAAACCACCGTTATATTGTTTCCATGACGCGCACCACTTCTTTTTTTCTTTTTTTTTTAAAGTTCATCGACGAAAAGACCAACTTCTAAAATGCCAAAAATAAAGCGACCATTTCTTAACTTTCTATATAGAGAAAGTTCTTCGCTAAAATAAACTCCGAGTAAACTTAAAATGATAAGGTACCGAGGATGAGTATTCAGCCTTCGAATGTACTTTAGCTTTCCAGAGCTACGTTTACTCTCAAGTTTAGCTTTTCAATTTTTAAAGTTTCCCTACCAAACAATCCAGACATTTTAAATGCACAGCTTGCATGGAAACACAAGCTAGATATTTACAAAATAGCATTCTTTCTATCCCACGATCCTATTTTATCTTTTTTTTAAGAAGTGCGCACGGAGAACGTGGAAACTAGGAGAGGCCTGGCAGACGTCATCGACCTCTCCGACACACGCTGCATCGTTACAGGGAACACGCCGAAACGAATAGTTACAACAAATGATAACACTATTACCGGGGTTGAGTGAAAGCGACATAAGTGTCCGTAAAGTAAGGTGTAGAAGGACAGAATGTGCGCAGCGAGACAGCGCGTACTATACGTGCCGTCGCAATGGCCGATCGGCCAGCGCACCCGTCGTGTCAACGGCCCCGACAACGTCCTCGACCATCAAGTTCGCGGCAAGTACGCAAGATGCCAGCGAAACGGCAAAACGTAACTTAGAAGTCACTTGAAAACTTGTTTGTTGTCAATATATCCGCTCATTGGGCGTGCAAACACTCACATTTTGCTGTACGGCGAACAGTGCTCAATCCAAGGTCATTGACACGAAGTCACTGCACTCTGAACGGGGGGCCCCAACTCCGGCGCGCTGGTGGTCCCGGGTTTTTAATCCGGCGTTGCTGCCACTGCATCCACGGTCACTCCAAACGCTTGACAACGCTGTTCTGTATCCTAGGGGTTTTTAAAAAAAATAAAATCCAGGGCACAGAGAACTCTGACGGGAGCACTGGATGAAAACACGGTCCCGCAGCCGACCCCACACACTCCACGCCGCGCACACTGTGAGCGGACATAGGCACATGGAGGCCGCTTCATTCCAGCAAATACAGGTGGCGTGCGGATAGCGTGACGTCATATCCCTGTCGTCTGCTACTTTCTTCCCCGCGCATGCGCTGCGCCCTGAACATTTCTAACGCGTCTTTGGTGCTCTCATTTTCGTCACGCATTTCATTTCTGACATCGCAAGAGTCTTTCTAAAATAGCGCTATGACAGCTTAAAACAAAAGCATAATGCATTAACATTTATTAAGATGTTTTCTATAGTGTTTATAAGCTCTTAATTTCTCCGCCCCACCGCCTGGTCCCATGGTGTAATGGTTAGCACTCTGGACTCTGAATCCAGCGATCCGAGTTCAAATCTCGGTGGGACCTGATTTTTTTTTTGCGTTTTTAGAAACATTTTTTTTTTTTTGAAATTACACTCACTTTTTCACAAAATTCTGCGTCAACCAAGCTTTTTCAATGAATTCGACTTTTAATAGATTGGAGCATGACGTGATAAAACAGTTACACCGTATACTTTATGGGATGGCAATACTTATGGTGGGCTGTTTCGTTAATCCCGCGGTTTCTCTTTTATTATGACACTTTTGTCGTTGCAGAGAGCTTGTCCCATACTTGCATACAAAGACAGGAATATCTTACGCATTAAATCGCCAACTGAATCGGTCCACTCTATATGCCAATCGAACACATGACACTCAAACGTCGTAATGCACAATGCTACTCGCATAACTGCGGACACTGTTGGGACTAGCTAAAACCCCAGCTATTGATAAATGAATTCTCATTCATTCATTACTTATAGTAGCAGAACTTCCGATTCATGTCCGCTCCTTCGCCGCTCTTTCGAAAAGCCTAGACATGCACGGAAAGTGCTACCGCGATTTGTATTTCGTCTAGCAATGAGCAACAAGTCGAGAGCGTTTTATTATAAGCAACCTTGTCCTTACGCCCACCTATCACGGTTGAGCAACGTAGTAACAACGCCTGAGTAGCGCGTTAGAAAAAAAAAATAAGGGGGGGGGGGGGGGGGAATTATTGCTAGGCGTTCTGCGCAGCCCCAAAAAGCTGTTTGCGATAAAGGCGCCATCTGTTTTTCGATTGCCAAACTCTCATTTTTACAGCATAGCCTCCAAGATTGGAGATTTCATACCCGCCGCTGTGGATAGTCGCTTTGATTTCCTCGTTCGCTCAAGAACGTGAAGCGAATACTACTTAGTTGCTGCGAAGCTCGCATGTTAGACAGTACGTAATCTGAGCGACATCACGTTGGTAGAGGAATTTGTCGCAGTGCGGGTAACTTGTAGCGCAGTAAATGCACCAGCGTCGAGTAGTATTCCTGTAGCAACGGTAGTTAATCGACAGGAGTGCTAACTGTAGTTGCGGTCGGTCGTCCGCCCATTGCGTAGAAGGACGGCTTTACATTTACTTGGTACATACTCAATGCGTCAAATTTTCAAATGACAAACCCACACCGTCGTCCATCTTGTACGAGCTAGAAAACTGGGAATAGGCCGACATATTTACAGCGAAGCCTCATTACTTATGTGAACTAGACTCTCAGGTGCGTCTATTCCTGGCACCTAATTGTATACGCGAAAGCTCTGCGCTTCGCCACTTTACACGTTAGATTGTTACACAAGGCACGCGTAAGACCTGAGGTTGGCTTTTCCTTCACGCCGAGGTGTCTTGTGGTCGAGCCGAACGTATTACAAAGAATGCGTTTGCAGTATGCGAGCGTTCGTATAAGGCTAAATATTCGAGACTAAACTTAAGCGAGGGGCAACGGCATTTGTAGAGCATCAATTGGTCAAGTAAAGCACAGTTCTTCAACGCTGATTTTCGATAACTGTCGATTATATATATATATATATATATATATATATATATATATATATATATATATATATATATATATATATATATATATATATATATATATATATATATATATATATATATATATATATATATATATATATATATATATATATATATATATATATATATATATATATATATATATATATATACGGCAAGCAACGTGACACGGCTTTCCAAACTTTCACGTCGTTGGCCAGACGCTTCGGCCTACTGCGCTCGGCGGAAAACTGCACGTGATAGAGCCGTATTAATGAAGCTTTGATGTCAAGCGTACGCAGCTCATTTGAATGCTTCTAGTCGATAATTTCAGTCGAAGAAGGTATTCCATAAATTATAGCTGATACTACTTATGACATGGGCCTGTTATGACTGAATATCATGAATGGAAGATTAAGACAACGGCCCGATTGGTCCTTTTTCTCCTCTTTCTTTTTCGCAACGGAATAAGATTGTTGTTTTTTTTTTGTTTCTTTATTCACATTGCCAAGGTGCTCCAGCGCAACGTTACGTATAAGGTAAGAGCGAATTCACGATTACGTGTTCTAAGCGCCGTAGAAAGCTCCAAAACATCTGTGATAGCGTACGCGGTCTATTTATAATCATATGCGCATCTATCTCAAAATTCTGCCCCATTGTTCTAGAATTTGACGCAGACAGTTTTCAAAAACTTGTCACCGAGGGTGGCTGTCATTGAATCAGTATATACATTTTTTTTTCCCTAAATTCTCACACATATATATACAACGTCGTCCTCAGAACCATCTGGCTCACCAAAGAATCTATCCAGGGAAAAGGGAAGAAAACAAAACAAAGGACAGACACCTCCCACAAAAATCGAAAGTAAAAAGTGATCGAAAGTAAAAACAAACACACGTACACATCCGGTTCAGGGATTGATGGGCGAGAAAAACTTCTTCCTCAGCCCACCGACGAAATATCCCACCGGTAACACCACAATTTCATAAAAAAGTCGTTTCCTTAATAACTGAAATAAAGTTTTTTCATTAAATAAAGTTTTTTCATTCCATTCCATTCCTTCATAACTGTCTTCCGCCAACTGCTGTGCTACTATTATGAGTCTCAGGACGTGCAACCAAACGAAACAGAGCAACTGCAGCTCCGAAACATCGCGAATGCCGGCGCTCCCTCATGCACTTATGGGATTTTTAAGGGAGAGAAAAAAAAAGAGAGAAAAGTGAGCCCCGTAACTGTCTCTCAGGGGGAGGACACCTCAACAGTAGTTCACGATGGATGGGGGTAAGGAGGGATTAAAAGGATGGTATTAAAGGTATAGAGATAGAGAGGGGGGAAAAAGAGATGAAACGTCATGCATATGGTCCTTCCTGGTTGCAATAGTTGTTCAGAAACATACTTCTAGAAAAGCTATTATAAACGGGTGACTGTTTTCATCGCGTCATAGAGTCAGAAAATATTAGGGAAATCAAGAAGATTTTCTGCCGTCGCCGTGCTGCGCCATGTAAGATCCAAATGAGAAAAAATCCTATTTCGCTCCGTATGATTGCGTGTGCGATAGAAAACGCATAAAAACCGAGAAGGATTGTGTTAAATTTGTTCATGCATGCAAACACTACAACACCCATACGTAAACTGCCTGGACCTATAACAAACGGCTGGAATCACGGCTCTAATAAAACGATATATCAGAGGCAAGGCCGAACAAAGCCTATTGGGACATGCAGTTGCCTTGTAAACAAATGAGGCGTATACAGTAACTCCCAATTCAGATGATAACCGAACAAATTACTGCAACTTTTGAATTATCTACTCGGAACTGCAACAACGCAACGGTCACCCGCTCCTTTGTGATGTCATGGATGATTGTCATTTCCTTCCTCCATGATCAGGGCGGCTTGTCTTTCCACGCATCAATAATGGAGGTCCGGTAATTGATCGCGAAAAAGAAAGGAGGCAAGGGAAACGGGCGAGAACAAGCATCGCCTTCTCCATGAAAAGATCAAATTAGCTCTCATGAAAAATCGCTTCGTGTGGTTATCTTACGCATAAATCTCGCTATCGATGCTACGCCTATCACTAACCACAATTTGGAGCAACGATAACATACATTATGATTTGAATCGGTACATCCAACACTGCGCTTGGTGAAGGAATAAATATAGGCGCACAGTGTCCCAGTCTGTCATCTCTGCCGGAGGGTCGTACCATCTGCTTTTCGGCCGAGGCTTAAGTATTTTCTTTCTGCTAATGTAAGCAGTGAGTAAACCGGTATATTAAACCTTGTCTGTTCTGACTAAAACACTATTTCTGGCCGAACGAGAAAAGGGGAATTTAAGGGCTCCTCTTTTATTTGTTAGACACAAGCTTAACGAAAAAACCAAGTACTACAAAATTTGTCGGGACGATCGGGAATTCCGTCTAAAGACCAGCGATGCTAACTTGTATCTTCGGGGTAATATTCGACTATATTCAACACACGCAGTAGCGTTTGACGTCAAGGAAATGAAAGACCGTAGTTTGCTTTATTACTCTTCACGGTTTATCACTATTCAACAACGGTACTCTAAATCATTTACTTTTGGTTCTGAATACATTCTGCACATATTTTTTTTTCTTGCACGGGACAGTGATGATGCGGGCGGAGCTTATATTTTTGCTTACGCTGTTACTGGCCTCTTTCACTCGGCCGCATGCCTTATCCATAAAAAACTAGCAATTTCTGCTGTTATCACACAGCATGATTTTCTCCTCCGTATCTGGATATCAGAAGAGAAGCCAGTTATTTGGGGGGGGGGGGGGGGAGTTGGGGACGTGGCAGGTGCGTGTATACATACACATACAAAGTTACAAAGTCGAGAAATTCCGGGAGGGGAGGGGTGCTGCCCCACCCCTCACCCCACCTGACTGCGTTAATATTCTATTCTATTCTATTGTTGCAGCTCCTACGACGACGCCGACACTGCGATCTCTGTTTGACACATCGTGGAGATAAATACTTGTACCGACTCCTGCGACTATTCCAATCAGACGCAAGTGCATACGCTCGACGTTTGCACGCTCACACCATCTTTTTGAATATTTTCTCGACAGGCCAAACGTCATTTCAAGCTTCATTGATGCCTTCCC